GTGTCATTTCTACAGCAAGGTAAAGCACCCTGTCTGCAGAGCCAACTCCCCAGGTACTGTGGATCACAGCTGAGACTCTATTCAGCTCTGATCGTCCTGACCCGGCCATTTCAGCACACACACACACATGCACGCACGCACGCATGCACGAATGCATACACACACACACACACACACACACACACACACACACACACACACACACACACACACACACACACACACACACACACACAGTTGCGAGCAGAGCCTAGCATTCATACAAAGTAAAGCAGTGCACACACAAAACAATTACATATGTGCAAGGCTTCATTTCTGCTCTGTTGAATCTGTTCGTGTCACAACTTTGCAGATGTTTTAGCCATGGGGACATGAACGCTACATTCGCACAAATTCTCTTTTCTCAGTCGTTTGGTTGGAACAGTGGGTTTTGAAATGATAATGAATCTGTGAGCCAGGATCTCCCACATGGCACCATGTCTAGAGTAGAACAAAAGAAGAAATAGAATAAGGCAGCCCTGGAAAGCAGCAGCATGAGATTTTCTTTTTCTCTCGAATGTAAAAAATCAAATTCTGGCTGAACTAGATAGTGCCTTTAAAGCGGTCTGTGTTTCTAAGAGGCGATCATTTATACAAAAGAAAGGTGAATATGAGGTTACAATTACACGTGAATATTGCAGATACTTTCCCATTCAACAGAATCAAAGTTTAAAATCTTGCGGTATCAGTCCATTTCTGGATCGCCCCTATCCAGTGATAGCATAAAAGAAGTGGTATACATGATAAGGAATACACTTTAAATACTATAATTGCTTGGTGGAATGATGACTCAGTGACAAATACACAATCATAAGACAGGACACACGCTCGCACACTCATATGTGTGGCTCCAGGTGCTGATTGCCAGTGTAATAAACACACACCATAGGAGGGAGAGGCTACAGGTCATATTCCACAGCAATAAAACTACACAGCAGGGAACACTGACCATCCAAACTTAGAGAGAGAACATGAGAGTGGTGAATGGCACATCAGAGATGATGAAGCCAGAGAGTGTGTCGCTGCATCCCCTGGGCGCAGCTGCTGCCCCTGTGCCAGAGATGCTGTGTATCTTCGGGACGGGGGATTTAGGACGCTCTCTGGGTTTGCGTCTGCTCCAGTCTGGCTACAGGGTGGTGTACGGCAGCCGCAGACCTCACAGCTGTGGACCCTTGCCCCAGGGATCTCAGGTACGACACATGGCATAGCACTTTTAGTCTTTCAAAATCCACAAAACAATGCTTGTATGCAGCTTAAAGAATATTTGTTATGTTTCGATTTTTGTGTTTTTGTACAGGTGATGAGCCACGAAGCAGCAGCCCAATCAGCCAGTTTGATCTTTATTTGTGTTCACAGAGAACATTATGGATTCCTGGAAACAATGGCACCTCATCTTGCAGGAAAGGTGAGTCAAAGTCTGATTATGGATAATGTAACACTAACATACACAATTGTAAGTTAATTCTTAATCATGAACAAATAACACAGTGAAAGCAGTTTCATATTTTATTTAGAGAGTGTTGTCAAGTTTGAAAACAAATTGTTGGATAGCTTACCAGAAAATATTTGTTGTTCTCTCACGTGTGAATCTGCATATTGACATTCATCAAAAATGCACCGAGTCAGCTCTGACTGATAAGTGGGAAGATATTAATAATTAACCAGTTGTGTGTCAATATTTCCACATCAGTTACGTTTTGTTATCCCCTTGTGAAAGGTACAGTAGTAAAACAACAATTAAATCTAAGGTAAATGTGGGACACTGATGATGCTTTTCTTCCGTTGATACTCAATCATTTTTCGGGATAACCCTATGAGTTTTACCATTTTGGTTTAAAGGGGGGTCCTGAACAACAATATGACAATATAGTACATTTAACATAAAATGAAGCATAAAATAAACAAAAGAAATATAATTAAAATAGAACATTTCCCCAAAACATACAAAAAGACAAAATACAAATATAATTTATCATATATAATTCAGGTATTGATAGCGTTAAATCATTCAGCTTTAAAACACGTTAATTTATCATGTACAAATGATTAGGATACAGGGTATTTTTTAATGATTGTAAAGTTCATATGGATCAAATATTTTCAAGAGTTCAACTTATTCAAATTAGAGGGAGGTTTAAACTTAAAGTCTTATTTACCTATTGACTTAGAGACTGCAGAAAAATACTTCTTGAAATAGGTTGGATATGAATTAATGCTCGTTTAATTCCAGATGATTCTTTTCACAGCAAATGTTTTGGATTTTTTCTCCATGTTGTATAATTACACTGGGATCATAACCTAGCATCACTGTAAAAGTTATGAATTACACATCAAGTATCGATTCATTCTAAAATGTATGAAAATATTTTTCTTGCAGCACTATAGTTTTTATTTTAAACAATTTAAACTTCATCAGAATTTCGGTTGGAATAACTTATAACATTATCCCTTTAATATAATAACAATACATATAATAACTATTAAACTTAACTGTTTTCTTTTGTTTTCCTCTCAATACTGATGGCTTCACTACAAGGTGCTGGTGGACCTTAGTAACAACCTGAAGAAAGGCATTTACCCAGAACCCAATGCCGCCTACTTGCAGCGGTAACATATTCCTAAGAAAACAAGTGTCATTCATTCACATACTCTGCATGAAAATGCTCCCATCCTCATAGCTTTAATGTTTTTATTCTTATCATGATGTCAAAGATGGGGCTAACTTTTCTTTTCAAATATGGGTTTACAATCGCTTTGAAACAGCAGGTGTCCCTTTTTTTCGAATGCTGGATGTCTTTTTCATAAAACACTTAGAGCATGAGACATCAAAACTCTCAAGTGAATCCTGAAAGAAATTGCGAGGTTGCAGATCCCTTGGCAGGACGGCCCGCTGTGTGTCTATTCAGCCAAAGTGGAAACATTGATTCTCATCATTTTTACGCCCTTCGTTCCCTGTTTGTGTATTTGTAAATAGAAACTAAAGTTGTTGCTGTGTCTTTTTTAGATTGGTCCCTGGAGCTGCTGTGGTAAAAGGCCTAAACACGCTGTCTGCCTGGGCCCTGCAGAATGGACTCCTGGCAGGAAAACAGGTGAATATAACCGACCGAATATAAGCGACCTTGGGTTTCGTGAAAGGCGCTATATAAATATTATGTATTATTATTATTATTATTATTATATAAGACATCTGTAAAAAGACGTCAGTGGGATCAAGCAAAACAGAGCTTTTGTGCCTTAAAGGGGACCTATCATGCAAAATGCACTTTGTGATGTCTTTTATACATGAATATGTGTCCCCGGTGCGTCGGGGAACTCCCGCAGCATCAGAAAATAAAAACCTCTCTCTTTTCCCCCATACCCAAATCTTTTAAAAACGGGTGTACAACGAGCGGATACAGATTCCATCCGAACTGACGTCAAATCGGCAGCGGACCCACAGAAAGTTGCTATCAAAAACGATGCCTGACGTGTTTTGGACGTCTTTGTTTACATTAGCAAGACTCACTAACACTCAGAGCTAACCTGTACTGTAGAGCACATGTGTTTAAAAAGCAGGAAATAAAAAAAGAACTTACCTTGTGATAAACCTGAAAGAGAAAAAGCATTTGAGCTCCATACTGTTTCAGATAATCCTTGAACCGTGGTTTAAAACAGGATGGCGTTTTATCACAACCGAATTTAACTTTATCTCCGGTAGAATTCTGATCAGGCATTAGCTCCGCCTCCTCTTCTCTTTTTTTTCAAGCTAAGGACCCAAAATCCGCGCTTCTCTAACAGGGCAGCAAAAGAGGGGTTTGAGCAATATGAGGCATGGCTACAATGGGTGATCTGTTTGGTATTTTGAAAAAAATACTTCACAGACATGTTTTATATAGGTATGGCCCTATAATATATGTTTCAAATATAGCATGATAGGTCCACTTTAAGGAAGGCTTTGTTTAAGTGGAGTAAAAATACAAAGACAGAGGAGTAGCCTCATGGAAAGGGAGATAACCAACTTGATATTTGTATGGTAAGACTTAAAACCAGGAAACAATAACTTATTTCAACATTTCCTGGAATACGATGGGATAAGGGTCTCTCAGGCTTGTTAAAAATAGGAAGTGAACGTTTCACCGTAGATCACAAAAAATGTAGGAGGAGAATTTACTTGATTTTGTGTTGATAAGGAGGATTGATTTTTCCGTCTTTCAATAACAATGCAAAGAAAACCAGGACAGTGCTTGTATAAACAGACAAACAAACACACTTAATGATGTTACAAAGTAGAAAAGACCAATGTTTATTGCAGCTTCCAATTCACAGCTACAAAGAGAAACACAAACATGCTGGAACCTCTGGAGACCAAACCTGAATCTGCCTCCAATCCTCTTCAACACAAACACCCCCCCCCNCTCTGTTTTGTGTGTGCACGTGAAGCAGTGCACACACAAAACAATTACATATGTGCAAGGCTTCATTTCTGCTCTGTTGAATCTGTTCGAAGTTGTGACACGAACAGATTCAACAGAGCAGAAATGAAGCCTTGCACATATGTAATTGTTTTGTGTGTGCACTGCTTCACGTGCACACACAAAACAGAGCTGAATAGAGTCTCAGCTGTGATCCACAGTACCTGGGGAGTTGGCTCTGCAGACAGGGTGCTTTACCTTGCTGTAGAAATGACACACAGCATCACATCAACTTTACTGACTCTTTGCACAAAAATACACTCTTCACCACAAAAGCAGCCTCATTAAAATCACAATGTGCATAAAGATAGCCGGCTATATTTATGGCAGACAAGCAGCGCATTACCCCGGGAGATTTTGCAGTCAAGTCCATAACTAAAGCATTAATGTCTACCTTGGGGGATATCGTAGCAAAATGAGAAATCATTTTATGCCTAACCTTTAAGGCATCTATTCACTTGTAGCACTGCTAGAATAGACCTGATATCAGATCCACTCCAATGACTCATTTACTCGCTCTGCCTCCGGGACATCTCTCTTTTCTTCTTCTCTTCCTTCTCTAGTATCGGCCTAAAAGTCACTCCCTCTCTCTCCTATGGTATCTTCTCTTCTTTCTTTCTTTTGCTCCCTTTACTCGGTCCCTAGTGCTCCCCCACTTCTCTTTTACCAATGTGTCTTTAAATTAATAACTCAATTAATTGAGTCAATTCAAGTAAAGCCAGCTGTAATGTTTTTCACTGTCTGTTTAACAGATTAGAGTAGGATGCCTCTTTGCTCTCAAGGTTATGAGTTTGCCTCACACAGGAAACATGCAAGTTGAACATTTTCAAGAACACTTATTCCTTCCCTGCAGGCTTGCTCCAATCCTTGAGATTTCAGTAGTGGTGATGTGATGTGATGTGGCGACACTTGTGCTTAAATGTGCTTACTGGTACAGTAGTTGCAACACTTCAGTTTTGCATATTACTACAGATTCCAAAGTGACATTAAACTACACGTGTGCCGACCACTGGGGGCAGCAAACAGACCTCAAAAGCCTCATCTACCATTGATGCAATCAGAGAAGGGCAACTTGTGAATCTGTGAGCTGAATCAAGACAAAAAGAAGACTAGAGAAGACAGTCAACAGAGGTCTATGACACCAGCTTTTGTTTTCAACGCCACATCCAGTATATGCATGCAACATTTCCTGTAAATCCCTTGTGCCTGAGTATGCAATTTGTAGTCTGTGCAAGACTTTGCAAGTGACAATGAAAACAGTACAGAATGCAGATAGACTGAATGTCTGCTGCTGAATTTGAAGTTGTGTTAAAGGGGCCAACATTCGCTTCAGGGGTTAAAGGACACAGATAGGATGATAATTATCTATTGACCACTTTTAAATTAGAAAGTCATTTGATATGTTAATAAAAACTAAATGTAAGCAGATTTAAGGATTACAATGTAACTGTAACCAATATTTCAAAAGCTAAATACGGCCATGACATAAACCAAACAGGCATGGCTTAGAAAAAGCCATTCACCAGTTTTCCTTTTTTGAAAGCTAGTCCCTGCTCAGCTAGTGTGCAGTCCAAAATGTGTCTCCATTGTGGCAAGACAAAAGCACACTCCTACATTCACATGTACACACCTCTTCAAGACAAGAGTCCTTGAAGGCTTTCAAAGAAGTCCAAAGAGGATTTCAAAGCATGTCAGTGTTTTGTGCTTATCCGAAAACATCTTGCGACATTTAACAGTGATGTGCTCAGGGGCATGTTTACATCAAACACATGCTGAACCACCATTTTATAAATGTCAGGGTGAAGTTGCGGACTACAGCTCACGTGAGACACTGAGCTCAAATTGTGTCAGTGTTGTGTTGAATCAGCCAGCAGTGCATTGTTGAAAGAACATGCAATGATGCAATAGTGAACATTAAACACTCATCCTGCCAGTTCAATCTTTTTTTTTCCATTTGCAACTCTCACTGACAACACTGCACCGCATTCACTTCAAGCAAGAGCGAATTGCTGTGGTGTTGAGGTTCAATTCCCGAGGGAGTTATTTTGAAGATTCCAGCTGTTTCCAGATCTGAGAGGGCACACAGAATGATATGAGGCACAGTTAATAAAGACAGTTTCGAGTTACAGCGTGCATATTGTAAAGTTCCATGCTGCTACATTGGACAACGAAAAGCCTGCAGGATTGATGAGTTCTGCAGGAGTTCTGTTGTATGAAGGCTACTACTGTAATGCATTAGGTATGAGCTTCAGATTGAGGTTCTGCCCGAGCTCAGGTTTTGAGGTTGTTGAAAAAGCAGAACGAGCAAAAGGTAAGAAGGCACAGAGAATTGTACTGTATATACAACGAGACACAGTGGCAGCAACAGAGAGAGAATAGCAGAGAGAGTGGGACACAGAAAAAGAGACAAAAGGAGAAATGCAACTTAGGAGAGCTGAAATGTTGCCTCAGTAGAACAAAGATGCTTGTTCCAACCAGAGTTTCCCACAAGTATTCGCAGAAATATTCTATAAATATTCCATTACCAGCTTTCCAGACAGACACGCCTGGGATGTTCATTATGAAACATTTAGAATAGGTTTAGGAGATTCAGAAACAGTTTGGATGAAAGTGTAACCCATTTCTGCAGATGTTGTATGTTATAAACATGCTGCTTTACAATAATAGTTAGTATATGCACATAATAACCTCTCAATGTTATGTGTTATGTTTCTGCAACTTTTCCTGTTAGTATAAAGAAACTATATGTGTATGTGAGTTTATATTCAATATTACATTGTCGCCTTCCCCACAGCAGGCCTTCATACCATCTCCAAACTCAAAGAGCCTCATCCGCTATCTCTGCTGTAACAGGATGAGCATTGACTGCATGTTTGAAGTTCAGAATGTTATCTGGCAAGCCAAGCGGCAGAAATCAGAGGCGGGAGGAGCTGCATGAAACTGGAGATTTAGAGATTTTCCTCTTTCGTCCGACACACATCGATGCTGAATTATATGGCCTTGCTCATTTCAGAATCCAGCCTTTTCAACAACACAGGGGGCTGTGGCGCTTTGAAAATATCTCCACACAGACAATGCTTGCATGGGATTGTTTTATCCTCTCCTTGGAAAGCAAGATTTGACAATCTTATTGCCTCATCTAACTCCTTCCTTCCCTCTCTCAATCCAAGTCACTCTTTGTCTGATCTAAGATGGATGAAACTGAACAGAGCCATTTTGGTTGCCATGCTGTGATGAATCTGTGTCATTCTATATAATCATAACTTTGATGAACAGCTGGGGCTTGCAAATAGCATGCGTCCACACAGCTCCTCCCTCGTGGCTGCGGGGAAATCGGCAGCCTATTATAAGGCTGAAATAGGCCTAAAGAATTGTTCACCTCATCTCCTCAGCCTTACCTCCAGTCGAGTGAAAGAGCTGACAAGGTAGGAAAAAGCTGACACAGAAGTTAGAAGAAATAAGGAGGAAAACCTTGTGCTCATCAGAGGTGCAATTTCCCTGCTCTGTATTTTTTAAAGCAGGAAGGGAAGAAGAGAGTGGGCTCGGCAGCATGCAATTTGCACACATTTAATGAGTAGTATGGTGATTAATGGTGATTAGGTAAATTGTAGTTACTATGTGTATTGTCAAACTGAATC